AGGCATGGTGACATTTTTTCAGAAGCTTGATTAGTTATAACCTGGGCTGATTGATTACAAATGCCTGGGACTCAAATCACTGATTCCTCAAGGATCCTTCTTGCTCCATTCACAACTAAAGGATTCACCTTGACAAACTATCCATCTAAGGTGGATGAAATCTAGCTAAGACCATTATCTAGCCTGACTTTTTATAAATGAGACACATAGTGGTTATTCACTCAGCTGGTTGGGAAGAGTTGACTGGTATGAAACAGAAACACACATTTCAGGTGGTTACAAAAGTCAACATGTTGACTGTAACCACTTCTTTTCAAAAGGCATGCAAAAGTTTAAGGATTATACCTATGTGCACATACAGAATCAAAAGGAGTAAAGGGCAGGGGTGAAGGATAGCCTGATTGTAGGAATAATCAAGAGCACAGTATGGGAGAGAGGATCTTCCTTGCATAAAGAACAAAAGGGATTCCACAGCTGAATTAAATATAGCACTGTTCCCACACTTGTGCTCCTGTAACTCGGGGATCCAGGCAGTTCAAGGTCAGTATTATTAAAGACTGAAATAAAAAATAAAAAAGCATTTCATTACTCCATTTTTTCTTCATTCTTATTAGTCAAGTCACCATCTTCAACAAGTATCAGTCCAATGTTTTCCTTAGTCCTCTATATACCAAAAAAAAAATTATTTTAATGGACCTACTTACAAATATGTTCTATTTCTTTAGAGCGTACATTTTATCATTACCATACTGCCGTATTCTTCCTTTAAAATGTATTTAGACTAATGGCATTTATGGGAAGCAAATAACCCTAGCGGCAACTGAATGTTTCATCAGGAGAACCAAGGTACAGCCTAAAAATTCAACATTATAATGTTTCTGCCACTTTTCTAAGCAATACTTAGCAATACTTTTGTTTGCAAGAACACTGTGTATATGTCTATATATAGATGTTCTCTATAATGTTCACTGCTGCACTATATCACTTTTTAAATGCACATGCTTCCAATATTTGAGTCCAGCATAGTGAATTTTTTTATGAAAAACACCCAGTTTTCAACTAAAAAACACGCTGCCAATAGTTGCCCTGAGCAAGATTTTACAACCAAATCATAAAAGCCCTAAACTTAAAGTTTTATAATGCCATCAGTGAAACAGTCTCAACTGTAGCGACGAGACAGGCGCCGCTATAATGTTAACAGCCAGTAAGTAAACATTAATGCAGCCTAAGGGGGGAGCAGAGGGCAATCCCAGAAGAGTCCCCTCAGAACTGCCACAGAACTTTTAGATGGCTGTAGTTAAAACTTTCTTTGGCTTAATTACATACAAAGGACCAAGGGGGTGGGGGGAAGTTAGCCAGGCAGTAAGACAATTAATTTCATTAAAACTGGAATTGTGTCCCTTCCTAAAGCTTTAGTTACAGTTCTTGGAACTCACATTATTTTTTTAACAAGAATCCAACAAACTGACGTTTATCATTTAGCTAGTAGCAAAAAGCAACTTAAAGGGTTTTGAAACATCTGTAGATCTACAAAACATATAAGAGAACATCATTCTTTTCCCTCATAGTAATCACAGAGGTCTTAAATACAGGCTCTCCACTGAGCTATCAGACTTCTTTGTCTCAGAAAACAGTAAGGTACAACCCATCTAATCAGATTTCCAGTAACAGGCTGCCTTCAGCCAAGTCTCAAATCACATTTCAGCAGTTTCATTCACAACAATTTTAACAAGAATATTCAGTTACTTCCTTGCCTTCTAACAGTCTCCATCCTTCTAGAACAAGGTAGTACCATGTTTTTTAGACTAAGCCGTGTACTATGTGCTCTGGGCTATCTTTGCACTCCTCAGAGCATCAAACGTGTACCAGCTGTGCACTTAATAGACGTCAGGATTGTCATTTATAAATTCTGCACTGGCCAGTAAGAATGCTTCCTCCTAATCTGAACAGGTAACCCACACTGCTTGAGAATAGCAGAAAAAGGCAAAAAATTCTGAGTTACTCCTACTGAAGTAAGGGATTACAGGCAAAAATATGAATCTGGGCAGTACAAACACAGAATTCATAGAATCATAGAATCCTAGGTGTTGGAAGGGACCTCGAAAGATCATCTAGTCCAAAATTCCATGTTTATGTACCTACCTTCAGCTATTACCTACGAAAATAACTCATATCAAAACATTACTTACTCAAAATAGCGTGACTAGTTCTCTTCCCATAAGCTCACAGAACATTCATATGTACATATACAAAAAAAGTTTACAAGTGATCTTACTCCTTTACTGTTTCCACAGAGGCTAATAAACTTGTTTTCATAGACAGGATAACCATATTTTATAATCACCAAATAGAATACACATGGACACGCTAACATGCAATCTATATCTTCATAGAACTGTAGTACTACAATATAATGCAGATAATTTCCCAAGACTGAAATTTCTGTGCAATGTTACCTCCTTTTTTCATTGTCAGTGCCACACCAATTTGCAATTATATATTACACAGAGACAAACTATAATCCAGCTAGTCCTGTAATCCATTAGACAACTTGCTCCTCCTCAGGATTAGAATGTGCCTAGACAAGATACCCGTCTCTTTTTTCCCATCATTCTGTAAGAATTATAAAATGTACAAGGCTGGCACACATGAATAGCAACACTCAAAAGAAAATCCGATTTTACAAGTTTACTGTTCCCAAGTTCAGGACTGACAGGGATGCTGTGCAAGCAAATGCCAGTGAGGTACTTAAAATAGGGTATCCAGTTGGGAAGAGATTAAATTATTAAGTTTAATGTTACTGCCAGCTGCTAGTAGCAATCTAAAGGGCTAGAGATATGTCTTCTGAACTCAAATTCAGACTTTTTCCCACCTGATTTTTCAATACAATTTGTTGTAAGCTACGGAGGATACAACCGAAAACGCCACTGTGTGTCTCCATGTTGAACATCAGCTTCCCAATAGAGTACAGGTCTACCAACATTTCATTTTGCCCACAACAGAAGCTAACAAGCAAAAAGATGTGAAATCAGAAAGTCTGTCAGCAGGAGCATTTCACACACTATACATAGTTAGCAACTCATAATAATAAATAATGTTTTAAAAAGAAATGTTTTCAACTACCTTTTGATGCCATTTAGCAATTCAATTTTTTTTCATAAATAACAATGATCCAACATGTTCAGCTTTCTGCATTTTATATGATGCAATGTTAAGTGAACTTCTTAGGAAAAATACCTTAGATCACACAGTTTGGATTCTGACAGAAAGAATAACTTTCCAGGAATTAAGTGTTAAATATTATTCATTACATACCTGTACCAACCTACTTTTGCTATTTTCACACACCTCTATTTCAGCTTTTATTTCTTTCAGACTTCAGATACTAAACAGAATCCAGATAGCCTGTCAAAGCTTTCATACATTGCCACTAAGACTTCTAGAAATCCCCATTTGACATAAAATTTCTTTTGCCTACTCTTTTTGCTACACTTGACAGACATAGGATTGAGTGCAAATTGTTCAAAGCTGTTCCACTGTTAAACAAAAAGCTTGTATAGGTTTGGACTCAAAACCAGTTTCAACTCTTGACTCCCAAACACTTTGAAAGCTACAAGAAACTAATACCTGGACAACCAGACTGATTTCTTCCCCTTTAGTGCTATCTAGAAATTTTAGAAGTCTGACACAGAGAATCCTCACATTGTAACAGATCTGTAGGAAAAGTTAAGCTAGTGCTGTAAACATTTGCTCTCACAGCAAAACAAAACACTGATGCCAACAACACTGTTAGAGTATAAGTAATGATACAAAGTTCTACCAAAATCTATCTACCCTCTTAGGAAATAAGTGCAGCAAGATGAAAAGCAGCCAGCTAGAAAGGACATGAAAAATACAGTTAACTTATTTAGCAACATTATTACAATTATTTTGTCTATAGTTACAAAAAATAAAGTGATTTAGAGGTGCTTCCACCTTTCTAGAACTTCTGATTCATCCTTAATCTTTAAAAACAATGGATATTCATCCTTTTAACAGCACCAAACTTTGTCAATCTGCCTAAAACTTGGACTGAACTTTGCTTACTCCATGACTGAAGTTTAGGAATGGGACCTGACAGTCACTCAATATGACATACATGTATTTGCAGTTATTCTGCAATGACTGCTTAAGAAAGTTTCAGATATTCATAGTAACCCAAAGCGCATTCACATCATCTCTAATACTAAACCCCCCTCATCATTTTTTAAAGAGTAATCCCTTACATTACGCTTTTGTAACCCCCTCTACTTGGAAAAAAACTAACTAGATTACTAAAGCATCTCATGCCATATAAAAGTAATTAAGCATTGTAACTTTCACTATTGATACAAACTAGCAATATAAGTTGAATTTCAAAACATTAAAACCTTACAACCCAGGACTTCAAGCCTGACACCTCTCAGGGTCACACTGCAACGGCAGCTTTTGGCTACTGTTGGAACACTCAGAGCTTCTTCCCTCTTCTTCACACTTTCATAAGGAACCTCCCCTTGACATCTGAATTTTGGCACCATTCCTGAACAACTTTGCTTTCCGTAACATTACATTCATCCAATTTGGATTACTTCAGCTTTTCCATTTTTTTTCCACAACATCCTATTACTCCTCTATCTTAACTTAGATCTCAAGGTTAACTGAAGTCATCAGCAACTTTCACTAGCATGCTCCTTCTCTGTGACTAAATTTAAATTAAATTTTAAAAGAAAACCAAACACAAAAGAAATACTGCTTCAATAGGAAATCCTAAAAGACCTAACTACACATTAAGCAAGAAAAAAAATACCACAAACAAGAAACTTTCAAAATTTAAATCTAAGGTTGCAAAAGACACTATTTCAAATTAATACATTTCTAGCATTCTTAAACAAAACCAGTGAATTGTCAAATTCCAATAATCAAATAACCAAAACAAGAAATATTATTACATAAAACTGAAAATCCATAAACACAATCTCTACCTGCTTTTCCTTTCGATGAGAATTGCCATGTAAGAAGCAGGTAAAGCAGCACCAAAGCCAGGAGACCAAAAGTAGAATTTTCCAAGTATCTTCCTGAAAATGTAATTTGTACACATATTATATGCAAAGCAATGGAAACATTCATGTACAACACCGTATTTTACCTTTATCACAAATTACACATTTTATTTTTTCTTTACATTATTCAATACTTAAAAATGACCACCACTTGTCCTGGTTTGAGCCACTGTCTTATCAGCTTTAGTTAGAACACATCGTTGCTAGTTAAAAGAAAGCTTACTGAAGGGGGGGGAAAAAAAAAAAAAAAAAAAAATCAGTACAAGGAAAATTGGCTTCATCCTGGCTCAAACCAGGACACCGCTAATTATATTTTTTACAGTCAAATAGTTCTCAGAGGGGTTCCCAAAGTGCTTCCTAAGCATTAAACACCTGAAACACTTCATGAACATATAAATTTCATTTAAAGCATTACTTTTCTCCAAAGAAAGCATTGCTTTTAAGATTGCTTTTATGTGTCTGAAAAGTTTCAAATATTAATAACAGGAAAATCTTCTGAAAGAACTTATTATTGGTCCTCTCTCTGCTACTTGTCCAAATAAACCTTCAAGATGATGTGCCTTGTGGAATGTAGGGATGCAATTAGATGAGCCAGGAATCAAATCAAAGTATTGTAATATATGTCACACTCCAAGAAAATAATTACCTGAGGCTAAAAGCAGCAAACCGCTCACTTACAGTAAGCCAAGGAATCAATCTGTACGTTATAATTGTAAGTGACAGTGATGTCCCAGTTCTATTAAGGTGGGAAAGTTCTCAGTTTTTGCAACCAGAGCTGGACTTCACTCAAAAAGTCCACATCATTTCAGCTATCAAAATTCCTCCAACAGTAAGAGTTGAAAAAAACAGTTAAACAAATGACAACATCTAAAAAAACTACTTTTATAATTTGGTCACTTTTAAAGGAGGAAAAGCAAAATGCCTGTGAGACAAAATGACACCAGCCACATCTGGTCTGTTCAGGACACCTGCACCTTCAAACAAATTCAGGTTGGTCACAGAAGTAAACAATAGGCAGGCAGTCATGAAATGTGGTAGCATGATAATAAACATACTTCAATTACACCAATGTTGCTCAGCTGATAAGCACTATTAGTCCAGGAAAACAGTGTTACAATGGAGTAAAAACACAGAGAACAAAATACAACAAACAAAATGGGAAACATACTTTCTTAGATAAAATTTCATGTTGACAATACAGGAGAACAAAGATAATTAATCAATACCATCTGATTAGCTGACTTTCATTCTTGCTGTAAAAGGCATGAGCAGCCTCATGTCAGACTTCTCCTGTAAAAATAACATGACCAGTGAGCAATGCCAGCTTATGTTCAGAAGGGAAAAGGGCCAGTGTATCAGCAGCAAGTGATGTAATGGCAATTACACACACTGTTCATTCCCACGGCTGCAAAAGGATAATTTCTCAGGATGACAATGCCAAATGCTGCCAGAGCTAAAGTTCATTATTAGGACTCTCTTGGAAAGCAATTACTGTATGAAGTTTCAGAAAAGTCATTTTAAACTGCTTAGTAAGTATGAACACATCTTAGCAGGCACACCTGTTAAGTAACAGAACAATGTATTTTCTGTGGGAAAGAAACAGGAATTTGTTCCTCTGGCATGGTTTAGAATCCTTCTACAAACGCTCACATGTTCAGTTTGGTAAGATTTTAGAAACAGTCACATATTTTACATAATAAAACCTACTGAAAATTAAAATGTGCAATCAGTAAATGAAACATTTAAACTTCTGCTGAAGTAAATGAAAACAAATTTGTGTCATTATTTGCATGGTTATTTTCACATGGTCTATGGTTAGAAATTGGAATGAGAAATATGAATTATTTCAGGTTATGCATCTAATTGCTCAATGTACAACTGTATCCAAACCTCAAAGGCTGGTTGATACATACAGTTGAATCAAATTAAGCAAGCTAATGTGAAGTTGTATGTGGACAGACTTAATTACTGTAGTTGCTAAACTAAGAGAACCATGTCCTCATGAGATTTTGCACATAATAAAATTGAAAATCTAAAAAATAAAATAAAATATAACTAAATCACACCTTTCATTGAACAGATGTAATGCCTGTCAACATCGGAGCCTAGCACTTCTGTCTGAAGCTCAGACAGATGTAGTCTTCTGGATCTCACCAGAGGAAAAGATTACAATTCCCAGCTGGCCTGTCACACATTTGTAACAGAGATCATCAACCCCACTGCTCTGCCAACAGAGCAGCCTGTGCACAATCCCTAATTCACTTCATTGAAAAAAAAAAATGAAGAAAATAAAAAAAAACAGGGCAGCCAAGTTAGCTTGGTAACCCTTTCTAGAATGAGAACATCTATCAACAGCTGAACAGCCACAGCCAAAGCCACTGCTGATACTGGATTTAGGCTTCTTTGAAATTTTGCCCATCTCTGAAATGGTAAGAATATTAAACAATGATTGAAATTACTTTAATTGCCCTTTCTTGCCTTGTTTTACATCCTTGAACATATTTGCAGCATTTACAATTTTGGTGGTTTCCCCTAGCTGAAAGGAAGTAAATACTAAGAGAGCATCAAAAAGATATACTAACACAAGCAAGGCTTCTCACTAACAATTACATGTCATATTTAGGTCTTCTAGTTGTAACTGGATAACTAAGGTGTATTTTCAGTATACACAGTGCCTGTAGATTCACTGGAACTCTGGGATAACGGTATGAACAGGTGAAGTGGTCACTTTATCCAGGACACTCTATATGCCTGCCAACACGTCTCCTTGGTGCTAGAAAAGAAAGAAGCTGGCAACTCTTCTCAAATCAGGAATTGTGCAGGTAAATATGAGGTTAATGTGGCCAGCTACAAACGATACGTTGCTTTAGCTGAGAACTCCAAGAGGGTAAGATCAGGCAGCATGGGGTTTACTGGGCAATTTTTTTTCTGAGTAACTGCTGCTTCTGCTGTAATGTACCTTCCTAACATAAAAAGATACAAGCAGCAGGCATCTAATTATTCAAATCTATCACATCTGACTTCATCGCCGTCTAGAATCAGATCTACACCGTTGAGGTCTCCAAGATCTCAGACAATCTCTTTGCACGGTTTTCATTCAGGTTCAGACATAAACAGGCCCAGTTCTGTAGAACAGCACCGAGGTACTGGTATTTCTTTGACAGATTGAAACATAAAATAACAAATTGCATTCTGAGCTGGAAAGTGACATAAAATTACTCTTGTTCTCAGGGACTACTGAAAGAATTACACTATACCCCACAGAAATTAATTCAAGGAATCATAAAAGTTAAAAAAAAAAAAAAAACACAAAGAGGTTTCAAAAACATAAAAAATAAAAAAATTGAAGTCTGACATTTCCATCCTCCATCATCCACCCAACATCAGATGAGAGAAGGAAGCATATCCAGCTCATGCTGCAAGACAATGTTGATATTAAGTACATTCCAAGTGAAGGATTTGTCAACATTATGACCTCAGAAGAAGCTCTTAAGGAAAAAAAAAAAGGGTATACAGTATTCAACTTGTAAAGATGACATTGATTTCTACAGCCTTCTGCCTTGTTCTTATTTTCTCTCCAAATAACACCTACTTGACTCCTTGACCATATTCAAGTACTCTTGTTCAAAGAACCTGCCCATGACAACTCTCAAACACATTCCTGATTAACAGCAGCCAGTTTAAAGCCCATCCCCATGTAAGGACAAGACTGCTTTTTCTCTCCCAATGCATTAATTTAAGCTTTCTTTATCAAATTTCAGAAGTTATTTTAACCAACAAATATTTCTGAAATGGATGAGAGCCACTTTTAGATTTCTGTAACCTAAATAATCTTGTGCAATCTCTCACACTACTCTTCATCACTTTTTTCCAGATTCTTTAGGTATATCCAGGACAAAGGACACAAAAGAAACACCACTGGCAACTTCTTCCTATTATGAAAATTGATGATTTATCCCTTGTTTTATTTCATATTAACTACTCCCTAATCAATTACTAATTCCTGGGAGACAAAGGATCTTTCTTCTTGAAGAGTCCTATGACAATCTTGTAATTTGGGAATTCATGTATAATGCACCATTCAGATCATCATCAGATACACATTTATCCTTCAAAGGACACTAGCAAATTTAGAAAGTATGACTTTTGATAATTATGTTATCAATTGTTCTCTGAAATGCCATTTAATAGCTCTTACATATCTTATTCACTTAACTGCTGGGGCTCTGAATTTTATTCTGGTCAGAAAAGCTGCAAAATACTCCTTATAACTGGACATTCTTATACTTCAACAGGCACAATCCATAAGGCCAATACCTTCTTCTTTTGTCTCTAGTAGTAGTTTCTGCTCACCAGCTCCAATTAGAACCCTCACTAACAGGCTGACATTTTCTATTTGCAAGTCCTGCAGTTGCAGGTGGTGGGCAGTCTGCAGAGATCCTACTGGAGGTGACAACTCTTCTCGGCCATCTCTTTGTAACAGAAAAAGCACATTCATCTCCCAAGATGTTGGTTAGTTACTCTGCTGCACAGCTGTAAGAACAGCAGGGTAAGCACTTGCATGTATCCCTTGTCACATTAAATTGTTAGAATGGCCCTTTGCATGGTTTTGGCCTGGGTCAGCCCAACAGATGCTTCAAGGAGACATGCAGGGTACAAGGTCTACATAGACTCATACAATGGTTTGGGTTGGAAGGGACCTTAAAGATCATCACATTCCAACACACCTGCATGGGCAGGGACACCTTCCACTACACCGGGTTGCTCCAAGCCCCTTTCAACCCAGCCAGGGAGGGGCCAGCCACAATTTCCCTGGGCAACCTGTGACAGTGTCTCCAACACCCTCACACTAAAGAATTTCTTCCTAGTGTCTAACCTAAATATACCCTCTTCCAGTTTAAAGACATTATCCCTTTTCCAATCACTACATGTGCTTGCAAAAAGTCCCTCCCCATCTTTCCTGTAGCCCCTTCAGGTACTGGAGAACCACTATAAAGTCTCCCTGGAGCCTTCTCTTCTCCAGGCCAAGCAACTCCAACTCCCTCAATTAATCTTCATAGAAGAGGTGCTCCAGCCCTCTGATTATCTTTATAGTACTGTTCCCATTATCCACTGTGCATCTGGCCATGCTGTTTTGGTGGTCAAAACAACTTTAGACAGCTATGTTCCACATAGATGAAAGGGAAGCAAAGCCAATAGGCTTCAGAGTCAGATGCTAATCTCTTACCTGCTTAATTTAATAGCACAGGCATAGTCACAGATCTAAAAGACAGATAGCAACCTCTGCTAGAGAAACAGCTGAAAACCGTAAGTTAGAGAGTAAAATCCAACTACACCACTGAAGAAAGGCACTGCAGGTTCACAGGCAAGTACAAGGAAGGCCACTCTACAGCTCAGAGAATTAAAGATAATTAAATACAACTCAGATTGCTGAAAAAAAAATAATATTCTTTAGAGCCTGTTACTTAAATATTCACTTCTAACTTTGCAAATTATTTACTTAAAAAGCATTCCATGGCTCCTCAGACAGCTCCTCCTCTCCTCAGCTTTCTACAAGCTTTGAAGCAAAGTTTAGAGGCCTCTAAACAGATCTAGAAGTAGGGCATAATTGTCAAATAACTTTCAGAGAGGCTGTTCAGTGAACTGTTAGATAACTTTCAAAAATTCATAGCTACTGTAAAGCTTTACATGTATAGGTATAACATCTCTTACAATAAATGCATTTGGAAGTAGGACAATACCATGTTCATAAACAGGGAAGTTTTATTTTTAACTATCCTGATATTTATACAAAATATACACTGGAAAAAGCTCAGAATACAGAAATGCCTTTTATACCCATCTTCCAGAGCAAGCCTGTATCTTACAGGACCCCAGAATATGTGCTATATGCTGATATTCCTTAATTTATGACCACAAATAAGGAAAGTACAAACTTGGATGACTGGATAAAGTTTAGAATAATTAAAAGTCACAGCCCCTGCATCAGGAAAATAGAAACCAACATCCAATTACATCAGTTCTTTCCAGGAGAGAAAGATTAAGCCTTCTCAGTTCCCCTCTAGAATATATCTGAATTTCCTGCAACTAAGTACTTTGAATTAGTAAAACAAAGAAAAGGAATCAAAGTGAATAAATTGAGTTGTTTACTGATTTACAATATTACATAAATAAGAAAAAAAAAGTTTATATGCAAGTAGTAAGACGCAGAATAAAGATGATGGCACAGCTGTTGCTTTTCCTACTCCTACCCATTACAAACAGACCTATTAAAAAAAAAATACATATATAAATTGAAATGTTGCATTCAAACAGCTTTCCTATTACATTGCATTTATAGGACAGTATACTAACCTTAGAATGCAAAAGCAAGCAATATACAAGGACCCATTTGCTGTCAGAAAGGAACTTGATTGCAAGATCTCAGGTAGGAGTTTGTACAAATAATAGTCAAGTTTTCGTTTCCTGAGAATAGCTGCAATCTGAGGGAGGAGGGAAAGAAAAAAAAAAGGGGGGACAAACTTTAATTCAGTTAGGCTCTTTTTTGCAGGTTATAAAGAAAAATAAAAAAGGAAAAGGAGACCTGCCCATTTACATTGTAAATCAAAGCCTCTTAAATTTGCTGGTTTTATGAACAATACCACAAAGACTTCCTTTGAACTTGTTCCAGCTGTTACAATATTTATACCAGGAAATACATCAGGCAATCCTAAATGGGAAATATAGGCGGAATTTTATTACCTTGTTACCGTTGGCTGTAACAGTCAGAAACATTGCCTGCCAGATATCAGAACTTTTAAAATATGATAAATTTACACTGAGATTTATCTTCCAGACAATTGGACTACCACATAATTAAGGACGGAATAACATTAATCTAAATACAGGCCCTACACAGTGTCTATGAAGTGATGATATATTTCCAAAGGTTTTCTATTCCAATTAAACAACTGCAAGTCATAGAATCATAGAACCTATCACCAAGCCCAACCCCCTGCTGCAGCAGGAACACCTAGGGCAGATCATACAGAAACACGTCCAGACGAGTCTTGAAAATCTCCAGAGAAGGAGACTCCACTACTTCTCCTCTCTGGGCAGCCTCTTCCAGTGCTCTGTAACCCTCACAGTAAAGAAGTTCTTCCTCATGTTGAGGTAGATCTTCCTGTATTGTAACCTACTGCCATTTCCCCTTGTCCTATCACAGGGCACCACTGAAAAGACATTGGCCCATTCTTGACATCCACCCTTCAGGTATTTGTAGACACTGAAAAACAACATATCCAGGAAAAATTTTACAGAATTGGTTTGTTATTTCTAAAAAACTGCCTAAAAGAGAAAACAGGCTGGATCTAAAAAAATAAATTATATTTTTGGTCAGTTTTATGTAATTCCCATGTTTTATAAAGAACAGATACTCAATGACATTGAAAATTCTCAAAGTATTTTTTGTCCCTAGAAATTCTGCAACTGTCTAATGGGAAGGTGTAGAGTTTTCACAGAATGGTTTGGGTTGGCAGGGACCTTAAAGATCATCAGATTCCAACCTCCCTGTCACGAGCAGGGACGCCTCCCACTAGATCAGGTTGCTCCAAGCCCATCCAACCTAGCCTTGAACAGTGCCAGGGATGGGGGAGCCACAACTTTTCTAGACAACCTGGGCCAGTGTCTCACCACCCTCTTCCTAATGTCAGACTTAAATCTCCCTTCTTTCAGTTTTGATCCATTACCTCTTGTCTTCTTACTATAAGCCCTTGTAAAAAGTCCCTCCCCAGCTTTCCCATAGGTCCTTCAGGTGCTGGAAGGCCACTATAATGTCTCCCTGGAGCCTTCTCTTCTCCAGGCTCAACAACTCCAATTCTCTCAGCCTGCCTACATGGGAGGGGTGCTCCAGCCCTAGGAACATCTTTGTGGCCCTCCTCTGGACTTGCTCCAACAGCTCCATGTTCTTTTTATTTTGGGGGCTTCAGAACTGGACACAGTTCTCCCAGTGAGGTTTCACAAGAGCAGAGTATAGGGGGAGAATCACCTCCCTTAACCTCCTGGCCATGTTTCCTTTGATGTCACCCAGGACACGGTTGGCTTTCTGGGCTGCAAGCATACATTGCTGGCTCATGTTGAGCTTCTCATCCACCATTACCCACAAGTCCTTCTCCTCAGGACTGTTTTTGATCCATTCTCCCCGCAGCCTGTATTTGTGCTTGCAATTGCCCCAACCCAGGTGCAGGACCTTGCACTTGGCCTTGTTGACCTTCATGAGGTTGGCATGGGTCCACCTCTCCAGCCTGTCAAGGTCCCTCTGAACGGCCTCCCTTCCCTCCAGCATGTCAACCAGACAACACACCTTGGTTTGTTGCTTGCTGAGGGTGCACTCAATTCCATTGTTCATGTTGCCAACAAAGATGCCGAACAGCACTTATACCAGTACCATCCCTTGAGGAACACCACATGTCTCTGGTCTCCATTTGGACATTAGCTCTTTGAGTGCAACCACTGGTCAATGCTTAGCATTAGATGCTAAACAGAGTGAGCTTCATACCACTAGTACTGATGAGCACAACAAAAGACATCCTGTGGAACCAGTACTGTCAACAACTCTCAAAGTCTCAAATCCTCAATTTAAAAACATGGGGGAGAGAGCTGTTCTGAAACACTGTCCACTCATACTGAATGTCAAATAGATGTTTTGGATTCAGAGATGGGCTGAGGATCCTGCTAAATCTAACTACAGAAAAGTGCTGCCAAAATCTGTTTCCAAAATGAAGCCTGAACTAAGGATTGAGCAGAAATACATGCACAAACAGACTTCTGAAAATACATTTACACACTGCTTAATCAAGTGTCAAGACTACTTAAACCATACTGGATTAGGCAATAACGCAATCCAGATAATCTTTCTGTTGAAGGGAAGTCTTAACATACTCTGAACAGGGGATCACTAGTTGCTACCTTCTCACCTATTTCTAGCCTAGTGCACAAAGGTCATGAACATTCGAAATAAAATGACAATAACACAGACCTTCCACCTGAAGTGTGAAGCCTTGCTTCTTCAGTCCAAAGTGTCAGAAGTATAATGATATAAATTAATATCTTATAAATTAACAGCAAATTAAAGTAAAAAAAAATATATATTTCCGTAGCTTCTACAAGTTCTAGACTAGTATAAGTTTCTGGTTTCCCTTCTCTATTCTATTCTGATTCTGTTTGTGAAAAACAGAAGAGAACTGGCAGCACTGACATACAAACCAGTCCAAACTAAGCTAAATATTGCATACAGCTGAAAACAGGCAAGAGCAGAGTATGGAGCAAGCTCTCTGCCTCTCCTCCACCACCAATGGTGTGATAACATGATAAAAATACCAGAGGTATTTCTGGACACCATCTTGCTCTACCTTCTAGTTCCATACACTTCAGAAAAGTACCACTGAAGTTGTGGTTGACAAGACAGATTACGAAATCTGTCAGACTGCAGTGCTTCATGGTTCCTACTGCAACACACTTCACTCAAACTGTGAACTGTGCTGAAGGTCAAAGTCTTGCAATAAATGCACTGCTCAAGGCCTAGCAGTGGCCATCAGTAGCAGACAGTCCCATGGAAGGAGAAAGCATCAGGACATCCAGTAGATACTTCCTCAGCAAACTATTAATGTCCATGAAGATGCTAACAGATGTAGCCAAAGGTCCATAATTTACTGAGACTGCATGTAAAGCCAGAGAGAAATGAACATGTCATTGACACTATGGTCTCAGCACTCTAGCTATGAAAGGAGATTACGAATCCTAGGAAATCTTGACTTAGGCACCTCAGAGTGCTCTCTTTTCAGGACCCTAGTGTTGATAGCTGTAAAAGTTAGCTTGGGGTGTTACTCACTACAAGAACGGACTGCAACTCTGATTCAGCTCACTGAACAAAATGGTTGACTCTTGCATATCCAGGAATGGCGAAAAGCAGCTCCTTACCTCCCATTACTCTTATCACCCTTCTCAGAAATTTTGTTTCACTGTTCTCTTTTTGAGATGAAGTGACGAGAATTTTACAATCTAAAATTCTTTGATGCTTACAAATTATTGTAGATTTTCAGCTTTAGTAGGATAGTACAGCATGTCCACAGTATCAGTGGAACACTGCTGAGGGACATCCCACTGTGTGGGATAATGCCACAACTCTGCTGCTACATGAAACCCAGACACAATGCTGCCTCTCCCCAGGCTCGTGCTGCCTCACCTCACCTCCTAAACCACAAGTTTAGCTGTAATCCAGGGAACAAAGGCGACACACTCGCCCCACTGTAAAACTTTGATTTCACAAGAGAGAAAGAAAAGCACAATCCACTTCCAGTGCTGCCTCCTCCTCTATTTCTGAAGGCATGGTCTTTGTTCCGACCTGTATGAGGAGGAGAAAACTGCCAAAAAAATGTCTGGAACCAGGGAGAGGAGACTCCAGAGAATGCCAGTGGATTAAGACTCATGACTTCTCCAGGCAAACCACAGCAATGAAGCCATACCTAGCTCAGGGTGAAGAATGCTTGAGCACCTCCTTTGACTAAAAGCAGCTCAGGAAGATGCCAGATCTGCTGCAACTTCCTACTCTGGTTTTCAAAAAAACATCCAGTCATTCTTAAAATCTCCTCATATATTTAGAAGGACAACACAACTGGGATAAAGACTGTCATTAACAACTCCACCCTTCAATGGAACTTACATTTAACCAAGACAACCCTTCCCTGTGCAGCACCACCTTTCCTTTAAAAAATAAATAAATTGAAAAGTCAGTAAGATTGTGGAATAAAATTTCACAGATACTAAGGGCTATCACTGACTGCACCATTTTCCATTCCAGATAGAAGACACATGGCTCAGTTACATATATCCTGTATATCACCCATTAAAACAAAAAATTACAACATTGCAAAATCCAAATGTCACCCTGTACACACGTCTCTGTAGGGAAGAGAATACAAAAGGTATAAAAGACCTAGTGCAATCAATGTCCACCATATACCAAATAAACACTCATAATGTAAAACAATGTGTTTGTCACGTACATTTAAAGTAACAATTAGATAATGGCACCTTCTCAAGGAGATTTGCCCTCTGCAGGTCAAGAATATCCAGGATTGTGGCACTCACCTAAGGTTAAAGATTTATTTATTCATCAAGAAAAAAATCACCCCTGTTAAGAATTAAGCATGTGAATCAGGGCAGAGTGTAGTCACTCCTTGCAACTTAATTTGCAAGAATTCCAAGATAATTGAAACACAATAAAAACCATCACAGCTAGAAAAAAATAGAAGAGAGAACATTTCAGGAAAAAAAAGCTTAAAATAACAGATTTCATTCTAAAAAAAATTTCCTTTCCACACCTGAGGACTGATCCAGCACTGCCCAGTGTCCCATTACCACCTGTGGGAAAACTGAAAACATAGAAGTCTCTGACTCATTTTTAAGCCAATAACTCCTTTCCTCACTTCTGCACACAACTGTTTAAAACTTGAAATGTAAAATTCACTTATGCTTAAATGCAGGCCTGGAAGTGTTGGAAGGTTTTTGAAGGAAACCTCACACCCTTGCTACTTACTATGAAAGGGAATGAACAGCATGACAGATACTACTCTAAGAGGCATGACCACAAACCTAACCTCCAAAATACTTGAGCACCTAACGATTCCCCAAAAAGATTATTATTTTTTAGGCATCAGACTGGATGATTTCTCCTCCTATTCATCAACTCCATGTAAACTGACCACAGATTTACTCTCCTATGGCAATCAGCTCGTTTCCCCTACAGTTTAAAACAAGCTCTGATTTCACTCTCACTACAACACTGGCCGTGAGTATCTTGAAATAGATAGAAAATGTTCCTTTATATGAAAACCTCTATTTAATTAATAAAAAAAATCTGCTATGAAATCATATGTAGCATAGGTGGAAAAAACAATGAGAGACAGGCTACTTTATCTCTAAGACTGTTTTCATGTGACTGGAAATGGGGGTAGAAGGAAGAAACATGGGTTTCAGACCATTATGTACAGTACAATCACAAAATTGTAATGGTTTGGAAGGACATCTGAGATCACACCATCAGCACACACACACCAAAAAAAAAAAAAAAAAAAAAAAAAAAAACAAAAAACACAACAAAAACAAACACCACCAACAAAACCACACACACACCCCCCACCAAGAAGAACCCATACAAAAAAACCTCCACAACCTCAGCCAACAGAGCATGCCCTGAAGTGCCACATCTACACGTTCCTTGAATACCTCCAAGGATGGTGACTCCACCACCTCCCTGGGCAGGCTGTTTCAGTGCCTGAACACTCTTTTAGTACAGTGCCTGACCACTCTCAGTATAGAAACTTTTCCAAATATCTAATCTAAACCCCCAGTGCCACAATTTCAGACCATTTCCTCTGGTCTTGTCATTATTCACTTGGTGGAAGAGGCCAACTCCCATCTCCCTACAACCTCCTTTCAGGTAGCTGTAGTGGGCAATGAGGTCTCCCCACAGCCTCCTTTTTTCCAAACTAAACATCCCTAGTTCCCTCAGCTGCTCCTTGTATGACTTGTTCTCTAGGCCCTTCTCCAGCTTGGTAGCTCTTCTCTGGACATGCTCCAGCACCTCAATGTCCTTCCTCTATTGAGAGGCCCAGAACTGAACACAGTACTCAAAGTGTGGTCTCACCAGTGCCGAGTACAGGGGCATGATCACCTCCCTAGTCCTGCTGGCCATGCTATTCCTGATGAAAAAGCCTACTCAGTAAAAATAAATAGAAAAAAAAATTTCTAGCATGATCTACAGAATTCACACAACTGCATTTTGAATCTCTGATATGAAAATATAATTATGAAAAATCAGTCCATCAGATCCAGGTTACCTTAAGTTTGTGGAGGAATATTATTGAAGACCCTTCTTTTTTCATTAATTTAGTCTTCATATACAAATTTTAAGCCCTATAGAACTAGGAAATCAGAACTAGGAAATTTATTCATTCTGTCTCAACATTGGACAGGAAATATACATTTCCAATACCATCCTTAAAACACAGCTACACAGTCTAATGCAAGACTTTGAGCTAGGATATCAATGTGTTCCAGCGGAAAAGCAACAGGAGTCCACAGGAAGCGTTCTTGTGCTCAGAGCCACCAGTCATGCCTGACTATTTTAACAATGCGTCATGTAACTCCTACAAGTAATCATCATCTAACCACAGTAACCTGAGCCTCACCTCCAGTATCTTCAGTCTACACCTATGTCCCTGAAATACAGATTCACAGGATGCACTGTGTTTGACTTGATGAATGTGCTAAGTGGCTGACCAATACACCCAGTCTGACACATTACATGTCAGACTGGAAAACCACGGACATTCCACCAACTCTACT